GAGCCAGTCAGGGTGCAGTGTAGCAATGATGAAACATACAATTTTCCTCAAGTTCTTGAATGCTTCCTCCCTCCAACTACCATGATCCAAATTCCACCTTACAAATCCGGCTGGACCGGAGGATGTACAGTGGTACAGATAGGAACTGGAAACACAGGAAATCCAGGACATATGGATCCTTCAGGACCAGTGGTGAGCCTGGCGATACCGGGAGGGTGGTGGGAAGGTGAAGGAGAAAGGGGGAACAGATTACAAGGATCTACATATAACCTCCTCCCTGGGGAATGGACAGCGGAAAAGTGGGTGAGGAAGACTTCAGATAGTGGAAGATCTGACAAAATAAAAATAATTTATAAATTATCAAGGGTTCAGGGGGTATGAGGGAGTGGGGAGGGATGGAGAAAAAAAGAGGAGCTGATACTAAGGGCTCAAGTAGAAAGCAAATTTTTTGAGAATGATGAGGGAAACAAACGAACAAAAGTGCTTGATGCAATGGATGGATGGATGGATGCATTGTGATAAGAGTTGTATGTGCCCCCAATAAAATGATTTAATAAAAAAATCTGTGAATAACAATAATTATTTTAAATTAATAGACAAACTCACTTTCAATAGTTTATTTTCCAATTACCATTTTACTACCATTTTGGTCTATGATATAGGCACCAGTACTTTTATATTTATTATACAATTATGGTGAAGAATAACATTTTCACATTTCAATGAAGATGAGTGAGGCGAGTTGTACATGGTATATATATAGGCACACTATGCTATACAGTTTTACATTTTTTCACCATTTATGTACATTATATGTATGTGCACAATATTTCCTGTGGTGGCACTATTGACAAAAAAAATTGTAAAAAATGTAGTATGTAGCCTTGGATAAAATATGAGCAAAAGTAAATACCTGTAATAAATAATTCCATGTCACTTTATTTTGGAATCTTGGAAAATTTTCAACTACAGAACCAAGATTAGGCATGTGTTTTAATTCTGATGTATCTCTTGGTTATTTAAATTTGTTTATTAAAAACTAGATGCATTACACTTACCTCACTTAATAAATTCGCATCAGATTCTTGCATGTGTTTCTATTCAAAGCCTCTGTGTCTAGGGACATATATGCTAATACTGGCATATTAAAGAGAGCACGTGTAGAAAATATGTGAATATTTAAAATGTAATTGGCTAGCATTTGAAAGCAAAATATTAAAATTATTATGACAGTTACATTCTCTTTCAGGTATTGTACTTCTGGAAAAACTATTTGTTGTTTTCCACTAGACAACAGAGTATGTTTAGTTACATGGTAGGCCTAGAAATATGGGCTATTTGACAAAGACAACCTGAGATGGATGAAACTATGTTGTTTTCATCCTACAATGCTACAAAGGTAAGCCTAAAGACAATTTTGTTTTTTCAACAACCTTCTTAAATGCACTCTTGACCTCCTTGTTTCTCAGGCTGTAGACAAGAGGGTTGAGCATGGGGATGACCATAGCATAGAATACCGAAGCCATTTTGTCTGTGTCCATGGAATGACTGGAGCTAGGTTGTAGGTACATGAAAATAACTGTCCCGTAGAAGATGAAGACAGCAGTGAGATGTGAGGCACAAGTGGATAAAGCTTTCCAGTATCCCTCAGCTGTTCGCATGTTTAGAATGGTGAAAAATATGAACATGTAGGAAATAAAGATAACTAGAAGAGCAAAAGATATATTGAAGCCAACCACAAGAACTAGAACCATCTCACTAACATGTCTATCAGAGCAAGAAAGAACCATGACTGCTGGAATATCACAGAAAAAGTGATGGACCACATTAGACTTACAGAAAGAGAGACTGAATGTATCGCCAGTGTGTATAGAGGCATTTAGGAAACCACAGATATGGGAGCCTATGGCCAAACAAACACACACACTTGTGGTCATGGTGGTGGTATAATGTAGGGGTTTACACACTGCTGCATAGCGGTCATAGGCCATGGAAGCCAAGAGGTAACTTTCTGTAGTAGCAAAGGCTACAAAGAAGAACATTTGAGCTGCACAAGGGTTGTAGGAGATGATCTTATCTCCCATGAGAAGCCCAGCCATGACCTTAGGAGTGACAGCTGAGGAGTAACCAAAGTCCACCAGAGAGAGGTTGCAGAGAAAAAAGTACATGGGTGTATGGAGACGAGCGTCCAGCAGAATCAACAGG